CGCTAGGTGGTTTTTTTTTTTCGGTACCGAAATATTAATGGCATCGGTACGGGCGGGTTATATCACTGACTAGAGATTGTTCTCGGTACCATACTATAATTCACATCGGTACCGTGGGAATATAATTGTGTCTTATCATTACTTTATTTTTAACCTCTAGAGGGCGAACGTGCGGTCTTCAAGACTGAGCAAAATGGCGGACACTCCGCTCTATTTATACCACAAAGGGGGAGGGGAGCGGAGTTTTCCGCCAAAAACCGTTAGCTTTCTAATCTTCCGGCCTAGGCACTGCGCAGGCGCGGCAACCCATATGTGTGAATGCACAGGTGGCCACTCGAAGAACATCAGTTACAGGTAAGCAACCTGCTTTTCTTTTTGTATGCAATATTTGAATAAAGTAAAATAAAGTAACCAATTTACATAGTTGATTAAATACATACCAGGATTCCTTCAGAAAAAAAAAGATTCAGTCAATGGATTTCTAGATATGGAGCAACATTACAGCATCACATGGGCAGATAGTCATACTGGGTTGTTGTGTTCTATGAAACCTGACTGTTTTCCTCAAGGTGACTGTGTGCGCGTTTGTGCACAGATGCATATGTGTGTGAGCAAGGCACTCTGATAACCCATGGTTTGTTCTAGCAGTTGTTCAAACCCTGATGGGTACTTGCATTATCCAAAACAAGGAGAGCAATTACTTCATGGGTTGGCAGGATTAGATACAAAACCACATGTGAATAGCAATAAGAACCACCCACACTTCTTGTTATCTCACCATGTTTCCACCAATGACCTCCCATCCATTGATGCCCAAATGGCACTTCAAAGCAGTTGCCACTTGTCTGGAGGCCTTTTCCCCCTCAGTCCCGAAAAAGTGTGCAAATGTGTTCATAATTGTTTTCAGGCTCTAGGATTTTCCTAATATAACACCCACACACATGCTTCCCAAGGATGAGAATTTGTGTGGATTAGAGGTTTCGTCAGACAAAATTGTCACCAATTTTGTCACCCTGAATCTGTCTGCAAAGCAGTAGGGGAGGACAGGAAGGAAAAATCTCAGTATTGTGCAGTGAAGTGAGGAGACAGGTTGGTTAAATCACAGTAGAACTGTATCTGTAGATTTGAGAAAGCAGAAGCAGTCAGAATGGACTTTGCAGGCCATCAAGACCAACCTACTGTTCAATGCAGAATCTGGTAGACAAATTCAACAATATAGTTCATGTTCAAATTTAAGCAGTATCTTTTGTGTCCATTTTGAGAAAGCAAAGAATGAATGAAGCTCTCAAAAGCTGTGCTTTGCTGGGTAATTTTAGCAGGGTTGGAAGGAAGCGGCTTTTATCCTTTGCTTGAAGACAGAGAAAACAAAAATAATGAAGGTGTTCTGCATCAGGCAGGGTTTCCCATCCCATCCATCCTGCTTTTATAACTGTATTGCCTTTGTGAGTCCTTGAATGTACTTTCCTCTTGTGGTATTGTACCCACACTTATTTATTGATAGTTACGAATAATTTTAGTAAGTATCATTTTATAAATCACTGATTATACAGACTCTTACTTGAGTTCCCCCAAGGAAGCCGCAAAAGCTTTCCTGTCTGGTCAAAGGAGTGTTGTTTGAAAATATAATGTGGTTTTGGCTTCCTTGGAAAGAAGATAAAAAAAATCTCTTTCTACCATTGGCTTCACACAAACAGTTACCTGTGTCCATACTGAATCTTATTTTCTTAATAATGGCAATAACAAGTAAACCTAATAGAGCACAGTTTTCTTCAGCGAGCACTTATTTTTGAGTTTCTCAACCTGGACCACAGCTCTGCCCATATTATTAAGTTCTTAAAGTGTTAAGAAGGAAATGCTTTTTAATTGGACAGGTTGGTATTCTGCCATGCCATATGCATACAACAATTTCGGTCACCTAAACAAATAGCAATGCTTGCTACATAGAAAGATCCATATGTTTAGAAGTACCCTTCATGACCTGAGAGCACCAGAAAATTAGCATTTCTGTTTCCTTAAGCTAATTTTCATCTCTTTCTCCTTCACTCGGCTTTCCAGCACTCTTCTGCCTGAACCAGATGGCTGACCTTTTTTGCTGGGAGGTGTTATACATTAGGGATCAGCATGGTGCACTGGTGGCTTACTGGCCAGTTTCCAGTGGAGGACCTGCTACCAGCAAGGGATTCGCACCTTCATTTCATCTAGCAATTTTCTTCTAAAGTCAATCTGTTGTTCTTGAGCAGTGACTAGTCAGTCTGTTTTAACTAAGGTTAGTTAAATTCTTAGTTAATACAGGTTGAGAGTGTGCTGTGCATTCTTGCTCTGGTAATTTTCAAACCTGTTGTAGGACTGTGGCTTCCTATAAGCAAATCAGACTGAGCAAGAGTGGAGTCTACCTACTTGCTTTATACAACAAAGCGAATATGTATTTTTTGTAGGCGTCAGAGCTGTGTGGTCATTTCTATTGTATGGTCTCTTTTCAGTGTCTGGGGTAAATTGTATCAGTTTCAAGAGTAAGTTAGCATATAATCAAGGGAAGAGCCTTGGGGGATAAGGGGAAAGCAGGAGATCTGCATGTCTCTTGCTGGAGTTCTCTTCCTCTTGGATATGCATGTGAGTATCTGCTCCCTCCCTTCAAAGTTCAGACTGTTAGCTTAAGCAAATCAGATAAATTCCATGTCTTCAACATCTCAGTAAGATAAAATAATGAAGAAACCATCCATTAATCTCCTTACTGGCAGGTTTGATAGAAATTAAGAAATCCCATTTCTGTTTCTCCCCAGATTCCTTTAATTTGACAGTCCAGTTTTGGTATCAATTTTACCCCAGTTATTTTCACAGATGGTATCTTTGTTCCACTAATCTTCATATTATTAATATTTTCTAAATTAGCACTAAGAGTTCGTAATTTATTTTCTTGCAGGCCCCATATCTCTCATTCTGTTCTATAAAAAGCCCCTATCCAAACTACTGAGTGAATCTTGCTTTAGAATTAGAATTTTTATTCTGTTACAGATTTACCATGTAATTGCGCAGCTTTATTCAGGTTGTCTGAAACTCTAAGGTAGTGACTTCATATTAACTGAAAAAGTGAAATTGAGGTTGCCTTATTCATGTAAGATCTTTGGTTCATGTAACCAAGCATTTACCCTTCAATATCAGCATCTCTTCAGTGTCTCAGGTGTAGATCTTCCACAGCTGTCCTTCTTGGGAACTTTTAATGAGTGATGTCAGGAATTGAATCTGGTACATTGTGCATTCATAGTGTTGCAACTGAGCTATGGATATCCCTGCCTTCTCAGCTATTTGGAGGAGGCTTCCCTTCCAATAATTTCCTCAGAATAAGGGTCTGTAGGAAATTGTCACACTTCATTTTACTCTCTGCATATTGTTGATTGCTTTCACACCAAAGGGCTTCAGAACTGCAAGGGCATTGCATAAAAGAGATGCTCTGTATATTCTTCTGCATGGCCAAGATCTATAAAGTTTACCCACAAGTTAAGCACAGTCCAGCAAAGATTCCCTGGAATGTTAATTAATTATTCCCTCTTTCTGGTAGTTGCATTTCTTCCTACTTTACTGTAGATAGGGAATTAACAATGAATTATTCCTTAGCTTCTGTTTTCCTTCGGAGAAAGGCTTTTTTTATTTAAAAAAATATTACTGGTTCATTTGCCTCACCCCATTCTATATTTTGTATCAAATTAAGAATAAAACTACAAGGAGGGAAACTTTTAATTAAAATCAGGGAAGAATTTAAAAGCCTCAAGAGTACACACTGGATAGGGTGACATTACACTGGCATGTTATTGCAACAAAAACAACCTCACCAGAGATTAGGTCTAAAAAACAGAATACAGTGTTGGAAGCAACCAAATAAATGAACAAAGGATGACAATTCGAAATAAAAGAGTTCACATAGAAGCAACTTTCATCTTTCTGACTAAACTTCTTTTGTAAAAGCAGAACGGAACGTGGCAGTTCCCAACAACAAAACAAACACTGCCTTTCCTGAGGTTTGGAAGGCCATCAGATGATGGTCATCTTGCATTTATACTCTGACTTCTTCTCTCGTGAGGAACTGAAGGCAGATTACATAATTCTGTTTTATCCTCATGACAACAACCCTGTGAGGTGGGTTGGGCTGCAAGTCTGCAGCTGGCCTAGAGTCACTCAAGGCTTGAGTGGGGACTAGAACCTAGATTTCCTGGGTTTCCAGTTCAGTACTCTCACCACCACACCAGCTCTCAATAAACTGAAGAGTCTTCTGGCACCTTAAAGACTTAGCAGATTTCTTGTTCATAAGCTTTTTCTGGATGTGCATTTTTCAGACAGATAAAATGTTATATGCACATGGATATGTCTCTATCGTATGCCACTCAGCACATTACTGGATTTTGCAGATCTGTATATAAACATGTTTCAAAGTTGTAACACAGATAATGTGCACACAAAAATCCATTCGTAGATGTGCGTGTGTGCACGCATGCGCACACGCACACACATGGCGGGAGGGAGAGTTGTCAACAGTATATGCACTTTCTTGTGGAGTTATGTCTCTTATTTCTCCATTTGTGGTTTTAAGATGGGGTCCCTCTTCCGCTTCACATATTTTAGACCATTCTTGTATAGTTAAATTACCATGGCTGAATTGGTACCTCAGTGATGCTTGCCTAGCTTTGTTTTCAAATACAGATGTAATCTGTGATGTGACTGCGTGGTATAAAAGGGGTTGGCTTCAGCAATATGCGATTTGTACCAAACCAGACACATTTTTTGTTTTCACCTGGAGGCCGAGCTGCTAAAAAGACTAACGAACTCTCTGTAATAAACTTGTGAGCAGCTGATCTATGTGGAGAGGCTAATCTCTGCACTTTCATTTGCAGTGCATCAGATCCATAGGCTTCATTGATTTCTTTCTGAGAAATAAAAGAAGAGCCCACAGAATGGCGTGATGTTTGCTCCTGAAGGACAGTAACTTACGCTTTTTGCTCTCTTTGCAGGTATTGAAAAATATCACTTGGTACTCAGAACGTGTGTTAACAGAAATCTCACTGGGGAGTCTCCTGATACTGGTTGTAATAAGAACTATCCAGTACAACATGACAAGAACAAGGGTAAGATTTTTTGCTTGGGCTGATTTTATTTTGATCAGACTTGCAGGTTACCATAATCACAAACCAGTTCCCTAAAGGGAGAGGGCTGTTATTTGTTTGTTTGTTTATTGAAAGCTTTTGTATGCCGTCCTATTATACAAGATTTCAGGACGGCTTACAATATTTAAAAAGACAATTAAAACAACAGTTTCAATAAATAATAAAACAGAACAAAACAATAAATCACAAAATAAACAGAGCGACTAAACTTAAAAACTATTAAAGTTTAAAATACTGTTTAAATAAAAAGGTTTCGGTCTGGCGCCAAAAAGAGTATAAACTTGGCGCCAGGCGTACCTCTCTGGAAAGTACATTCCAGAGTCTGGGTGCCACAGCAGAGAAGGCCCTACTCCGAGTTGATGACCTTTTTACCTCTCTTAGAGGTAATGAGAAAGAATATCATACACATGTAAAGAATCTGAGGAGAAACAGTTTTAAAATGATGTTACAATGTTGCATCTTTCCACAGATAAGCATGAGAATTGAAAATGTTGGAAAGGTGAAAGTTTGGTAAACTGGCCACTTAGAGTCAAACTAGTAATAGAGACATTTATCAAGAATGGCTTCTAGTAAACTTCCTTTTTTCTGTTGAATATATGATGCTGCTTCTGGCAAACAGGCCTTTGGTTGTGCTAGCCCAGTATTATCTACTGTGAATGGCAAAAACTCTTTAGGGTCTTGACAAGAGGTTTTTCACAAGCTCTCTACCTGTCATTGTTTGATGCTAGTGTTGAAGCTTATCTACTCTATGCCAAAGCAGCCAATATGCTAAGTTTTTCAAAAAGTATGTAAAAAAGTTTGCAAAACAGCATTCTGTATGATTCTTGAACAGCTAGAATTCTGCAATTTCCTTTTTAAAAGGGCATGCTTTATTTAAACATTGTGTCACTAAAAAGGGAATCTGTGCGATTACTTTTTTTGTGTGTTAAACTATTCTTTGAATAAAATAAATAATAAAGCCTGGAAAAATAAGGAAAGCTGTTGTTCATGCTCTGACAACAGTTAAATATGCAGCCAGGCATTACAAATACATAGTGGTACCCATTTAAGAGACTCAGTCATATGAAATTATGGTTGTATGAGTGATCCCTAAAGCTTACCCCTAAAATCAGAACACAAGTTTGGTTTGTCTTTATTGCAACCTTGCCTCCGGTAAACGGATGTTAGGCTAGTGTGCGGTTTCTTTTTGACAGGTCGTGCTGTATACAGAAAGGATAGTCTGATGTGTGTTTTTTCCCCTCCTCATCTCCAACAGGACAAATACCTTCATACAAATTGTTTGGCAGCTTTAGCCAATATGTCAGCACAGTTCCGCTCACTTCATCAGTATGCCGCTCAGAGGATCATCAGGTAAATACAAGCCTTTTACAAAATATTTAAACGAGCTTCAGCCTAAATTCTGCAGGAAAGATACTTGAGTTTCCTATTGCTCGAATTTGAATATTCACCCAAGTAAATTCTGTTCAGAGTCATGGAGTCCAAACTGAGTTTTGAAGTGCCATGCAGTACGTTCCATTTATGCTGTAGCTATTTATTTATTTATTTACTTGGTTACTTACTAATGACACCTCCTTTTGGCAATGCAAAATGCAGAATTACATGGTATAGATGGCAAACACTAATACTTCTAAACCTGAATAAGTATTAGGCTATTGTTAATATTTCAGGGAAAGTGCAATGGAATCTGCATTGCTCACTGGATTTAAGAAATAAATATACTAGTGTGTTATATATGAGAAATGTGATAATTGCAGAGTCATGCTTCTTCTATGGTAGAAGTCATTCTGTGATGATGCATCTTATTTGGGTGCATAATGCTGCTTGATGTGCCATTTCTGACATGTTGAACCTTCTACATTCAGGGAATCCTTTCCACATTTGTCTGCCTGTGAAGAAATTCCTGTGCATCAGCCTTAGAATCTTGTACAACCTGCAAAGGATTCTAGTGTGCATCTTAAGTTTGTAGCCCCACCTGTGTGGCTCTGCCCCTGCCACATGCCAACCAAGAGAGCACCTGTGCCTTAGCACAGAGAAAATCAGTACTCATGGACAAGTAATCTTTGCTGATTTTCTTATAATCAGTACCTTTCCAAGAAATTTCAACATTTGATAGAATATCATTGAAAAGCATTGTCCCTAAAGATGTGTGAAATTTGTGAACATCAAACATATGCACTTAAAAGATATGCAATATTCTTCTCTCATCCTACAAGACTGACTTGTTAGCCAAATTATAAAAACTCTGGTTAGAACCAGAGAACTTAGTCTCGTATTCCAGGTTCAATGCAAGTGGAAAACTTACCCCAGGGCAGCTGTGATGTTTATGGGTCCCATGTGCCCTGGACAGCTCCATTTTCAGTCTTGTGCTTGCCAAGTTCATCCAATCCAATAAGAAACCTCTACTTTATCAAGTATGTCCTTTTTGAAACAAGCTTAATGCCACAATAGAACCCCTGCTTGAATCTAAACACTGTTCCTCTAGTGTCTTCCAAGCCATTAACACCTCAACCCAGCATTTCTTCTTCACAGTATTTCTAGGACATTTCTTTGAACAATTGTAACACTAAGTAAAACCTCATCTTAAATAAAACATGGACCCTGGGAATACTCTGAGAAAAACCTTTGCTGTCATTTTATTGACTTTTGAGCAGCTCTGCTTGCCTAGTTTCCAAAATGTGGATTCACTGCTGGCTCTGCTTGAGCTCCGAAACCTGCATCTGTTACTCTGAGCATCGCTCTTTCCTTGATACACTGTGCTTATTGCCTCTGTTTCATGCCTGTGCGATATTTGCAGGGGCACTACATATTTTTCCAAACAAATCCACACATCAACTGTAGCTTTTGCTTAGCATCTGCATAAGAGGAGAACTTAGGGAACTGGATAAAGCATTTGTACCTCTGTGTGCCAAGAGGATTAGGAGTAAGCAGAAACCTTGGAAGGAGCTCCTTGATGAGACCCCTCTTCAGGGCTAATTCACTGCAAATCACTAGGAACGTGTTCTGTTTGGGTGGTAGGGTCCATCCTTCTTCCAGAGTGATAGATATCAGTTGAAACAAAGAATGAGTGTCCCCCCTTTTTATGCCATATTAGACTTCATGTCTTACTTTCTCCATGTGAAACACTTTAGTGTAGTTCATGTCTTGACGAGCACCTTCTTTTCTGAACACTAGCTTCAGTTTGTCCCTGGATGCATCTGTGTTAGGCCAGTCCAAATCCTATTTGATGATCTGGTTTGTGCAACATGACAGCTCACCACAGCCGATCAGCTATGGGGACATGTCATGTCACGTGAACCCAGAGTGACTTCTGCAAGGTGGCTTATTTTTCATGAACAAGTCACATTGAGAACCCATGGCTTGTTTTTGGATTGTTGATACTGATGGTAGTTTGTTGTGTCGTCCAGACTGGTTTGTTGTGTCGTCCAGATTGCCCTTCCCAGACTGGGAAGGGCAATATTCTTGTGATTTCCCAAGAAAAGCTGGAGACTTGCCCAGCCATAGCAGCAAAAAACTTGTGCTGCTAGCTTTGTAAGTGTATATATTTAGAATTGTCATGGAACTGCAGTATCTGCAGCAGGAAGTGCTCCAAAGAGGAAATGCAAAAAATGCAGGAGTTGTTATCTTCCCTTCCTGGAGTAGTTAAAATTCAGGAAGTGTTGAAAAGGTGGAGAACTGAGTGTCTCCTAAAACTGAGAGAATTATTGCAGTGGGAAATACAGTCTTTCCATTCCTTTTGTGAATCTTTTTTTGATTCTTTTCTCCCCAATTTTGAATCAACAATGTGGCAAGTGGATCCTGGCAACTATGTGCGAATTAGCCTGTGTGCAGGTTCCCTTGTCAATCTGCTCCCTGTGCCGTTTCCTTTAACAGTGAAGACTTACAAGGGAAAAAACCAGACAAAGCCACATATATCAAACAACTGTAAGAACATGCTTGTGAAATACAGTAAAAGAAGAAAAAGAAGATGACAACGATGGTGATGAAGAACACAGTTTCATGTGCTAAAAAAAATGTACCACCGTTGCTCTTTTCTTGAAGTTCTAGTAAAATAAAAGCTGATAGTGAATAAAAAGGGGTGGTGATGAGAAGAGGAGGACAGAAAAGGTGGATTCTACAATGTAGGATTCTGTGATACATGGTGGAACCAGCTGGCGAACTGAGGTGGAGAGCAAGCCACAGTAAGCCTGATCCTCTGTTGAGCATAATGTGGGTTGTTCCATGAACCACTAATCCACCATGGCTTATTTGCAACAAAGCAGGGCAGGTTGAGGTCATTAATGATGGTCATTTCATCCAAAACCACCTGCATTGATGCTAATCATTTGCATCCAGCCCAGTTTTGGGGGTAGAACCCTCTCAGCTTGCCCTGGTGGATGACCAGAGGCTAGTGTAGCCCTCTTGGTTTTTGTCGACCTCTCTGCCATTTTCGATAATACCAGATCTTCCTGCAAAGCTAAAGACTCATTTTGGTGCTTCCTGTCAAGATCCATTGGGTTCTTACCATCCAGTTGAAGATCAGTGCTCCAGTGCATTTATTGTTGGTTTAACAAGAGCACTACTTTTCACTCCATAGACATTGTTTTCTGATTTATCATACTAGAACATAAGTAGCAATAGTTCCTATATAAAGGACACCTTTATACATTCCAGAGCTAATACTTATTTAATTTTGATTGTATTTCATTGTAGCAAAATTGATCTGCCATGACAAAAACTGTAACTCTTGTCTAAAACACTCAAGTCCAGAAAATGTGGAATGGATTATAATCAAACAGTGGGACCTTACCTTTGAGAGTGAGCTAAGAACCTTGAGAGACAATTATATATGCAGGTTTTCAGTGGAGCTGGTCAAGAAATTGAACAGCAAAGATATTTTTAGGTAACACGTTGAGTGTAAGGAGTGAGTGTATGATTCTAGGTGAAGTACAAGTTTAATGTTAAGCACTATTTTAAAGTTAGTGCTGCTGCATCACCATCTTCTTTAAGAAACACAATATCTGAGGAACTCTAACTCAAAATCTACTTAGCACCACAACTGACAGGATACAGACAGCTATAATTCAAGATTCACCAGATGCTCTAATAATTCTTGCCTAAATGTGAGAAGTAATTCAGCTTCTGTGGAGGATTTTTCTAATCCTTTCCTGAGTACAGATTGCCAGTAGTTTTAAATTATGGAGACTGTTGTACATTAAAGATTGAATTGAGACTCATCATTTATACTTCACAAGGAGTGCCGTAAAGCAGAACTTTATATCACAGAGTAATTCTCATCATGTTGAATACTGACAGATTTGTGTAAATCTTCACACTCAGCTCTTGGCAATGAAACTAGAAGTAGTGAATGACTTGAATGGACAGTGTCCTTGAATGTAATCATCATTGGAACAATCCTTAATTGGATGTTGAATGTTGCTTATGTATTTATGTATGTAATTAGGGTCCCAGTCTGAGATTATGATGCAACTCATAGTGTTTAGACTGTCCTTTACATTTTTCTAGCTTTGAAAAATATGCTAATGAAGTTTCTTACATGCCTGGTTGCTTTGCTGCCATGCTAATGACTCCAGTACGGATAATCATCTCATAAAAGAACAGCATGTTTATGGGAAGTAGGAGATAAGCAGTGGAAAACCAGTGTTGTAACTTTAGCTCAGGTGACAGCGGTGGCGAGGAGCGCCTTCCTTCAGCTTCGGCTGATACATCAGCTGCGTCCCTTCCTGGAGAACAACTGCCTGGCGACAGTGACACGCGTGCTGGTAACTTCCCGATTAGATTTCTGTAACGCGCTCTACGTGGGGCTACCCTTGAAGACGGTCCGGATACTTCAATTGGTGCAGAATAGAGCTGCCAGGTTGCTG